GCTATCGGATGGAATTAATACATGGGCTGTACAGGTTGTCATGTCCGACTATCACAAGTAGAATCATAATGAAAAATACGCCGGTAAAATGTGCCTGTAGAAAACGGATTAGCAAGTAGTCAGTTTAGCTTCGGTTGCTATGCTAACATCACCCATATTATACCAGAGAAACTTTCATAACAGCGTTGTGATGCCAAACAGCGTCAATTCAGACTGACACACATTCACTTAAGGGGAACTGGGGATATGTATCAGCTGCTTGTGTGACAGTCAGACAGTGAATACTTTAGAGCCGTGTGAGCTAACCCGGAGCTAACGGGAGAATAAACTCCCGTTGAAGAGCAGCCAGCACTGCAGCGGTCGGTAAATGCCGCTGAAACACATTAATAAACATTATAAAACGGACAAGTCAAATCAAGCAATCTGATTGGTTCTTAGCCGTGGTATACTGAGCGTATACCACGGGTAGAATTGTAAGTTACTTTTCACAACAACTCAGTATCCCTCCGCGTCTGAGATAAACAGTATACAGTTGGGCTGAAAAGCAAACTGCCTGCAGTTTGCTTTTCAAACTGGAACAAGAAAGCAGCGGAGAAGTAACGGAGCAGAAACCCTCCTTTTTACGCAACGGTCCAGACATAGACATCAAACGGCAAAAACATATTCAGTGTGCAGCTCCTTTGGCATTAGGGCAGGGATATTTAGATACTTTCCAAGGTTTGACATAATGAATTGTGCTACTTTTAAAGCAAGCAACAATGTTTTCAAATCTGTAATCAAAAAGGTCCGCAAAAACATTTAAGATTAACTTCGACCTCCGGGGGGGGGGGGGGGTCTTACTATGGAGGAGTGGATTGAGGAGTGCCTATCTCCAGAACAAAAAGCACCTAAACGACGACATGCAGAGCTACGTGAAGAGCAGGTAGACCAACTGGAAAAGTATCACCATTCAAAAGCTTTCTGATGCGGGTCTTGAAACAAAGCAGAGAAATTATGACCGTTAGTGGCCACAGGTGCGAAAGCTCTCTCCAGAGCTACTGGAAGCCGAATCTCGGGGACCGGAGAAAGTGGAGCAATATTCTCGCCACGCCAAGCAACAGCCTAGAACAACCTCAGCCTATACAAGTAACCACGTAAGCCATGCTACTGATGCTGGACAGTTTTTCAGTGGGTGCACAATAAACGGCAACATACACATTAATGTAAATAAATAGCCAAATAATGGATCAACGCTCTCTGTCTAATATGTTCGCTAGCTGTTGTTAGTGTTGTTGCATAGCAACCACCTCGCACTATGTTTCGTGCAGAAGGCAACAGAGGGACTATTTTATTTTGAACATCATTATTTACGAATAAAAACTATTTAAATTAGAGTGTGTATTTTTCTTTCATATTGCCACACTTGGTAACCGTTTTATAAAAGCAATAGCTCACTTCAGGCCGTGATATATGCTCATTATATCACAGTTAAGGGGGCTGTCGACCCTCCGCTTCGCGTCGGGCCGAACCACGCCCCTTAGCTGTGATATAATGAGCATATACCACGGCCTGTCGTGAGCTATTGCTTAAATGAACCACGGCACTCTGGAGAAAAGTATAAGGTTGGAGAAGTCGTTATTTAATTTAATCTGGCTTCGTATGATTAAAAGCAACACGATCATCGACCCGACGCAGTCCCCGGCCCGTTGTTGTTGTGGGAGAAAATCAGCGACGTAAACTGTGACGTCATGACGCAGCAGCGGCAGCTCTGGGCGGTGTGAACAGAGCGGGAGCTGAAAAGGGAAACCGGAGCTGAACCAGAAAAGCTCTCGCTAGGAGCTAGAAAGGGAAAAGCGTTGGTGTGAAAGCCGCATCAGACACTCTACTCTAATCCACCATTAGCTGATGAAGGCACAATAAGAAACTTTCTTAACTCGCTTGATCTGCCATCTATAGGTGAGATACAGAATGACACCATTACGTCGCAATTTACAGTTGAAGAGTTGGAAGCTGCAATCAGAAGGCTAAAGACCAGTAAATCACCGGGCAGCGATGGGTTCCCACCAGAGTTCTATACAACTTTCACGAAGGAGCTAACACCTCTGCTTCTGTCTTGTTTTAATTGGACTCTTAAAGAAGGCAGGGCTCCCCCATCTTGGAGGGAAGCAATTATTTCCATTTTGCCTAAGGAAGGCAAAGACAAAGACCACTGTAAAAATGATAGGCCAATTTCTCTTTTAAATGTGGACTACAAGCTGTTTACCTCAATTATCTGTAAAAGATTTGAGACTTTTATGCAAGATCTTATTCATGAAGATCATGAAGAACTGGTTTCATTAGAGGGCGCCAAACACAAGACAATATCAGAAGGACTCTCCATATCGTAGACAATGCGCATAAAAAGGGCACAAGTATGGTTCTGGTTAGTCTGGACGCAGAAAAAGCATTTGACAGTGTCAGTTGGTCTTTTTTATATGAAGTACTAAGGATGTTTGGTTTAAATGAAAATGCAATTCGGTGTATTAAGACTATTTATCACGAACCTACGGCTAGGATCAAAGTAAATGTGAGTTTGTCCAATAGGATTCAGCTGGAGAGAGGCTCTAGACAGGGTTGCTGTCTCTCTCCTACTCTCTTTGCTTTATTTGTTGAACCATTGGCGCAAGCAATAAGGCAGAGTGAAGATCTGCAGGGTGTCAATATAGGGGGGGAAGATCATATCATTGGGCTTTTTGCGGATGATGTTATAGTTTTCCTTGAGCAACCAGATGTATGTTTCCCAAACCTGATGAACCTACTTGACACATATGGTTACTATTCAGGGTATAAAGTGAACGTAACAAAAACTCAAATTCTCTCATTCAATTATTCCCCATCCCAACAAATTAGACATGCATATAACCTAAAATGGAATTCCAAAACAATGACTTATCTTGGTGTAACTATAACCAAAACATTTTCCAACCTGTTTGAAGCCAATTATAACAAAATTGATGACAATATCCGAAAGGATGTAGAAAGGTGGTCCACCCTCCCTTTAGACTTCAGTGCCAGAATACAAACGGTTAAAATGAATATCCTACCTAGGCTGCTGTATTTTTTTCAGTCTCTTCCAATTGATGTTCCCCCAAAAAAATTCATAACCTGGGACAGGACGATTTCTAGATTTGTTTGGAATAGTAAAAAACCAAGAATACGATTTACGACACTTCAGTTGCCTAAAAGTAAGGGGGGAATGGCTTTACCAAATCTTAGGGAATACTTCTATGCAGCCCAACTCAGACCTTTGGCCTACTGGTGTAGACCAGATTATGAGTCTGGATGGAAAGCCATGGAAAGGGAGGTACAGGGTCACCACATTCAGGCCTTGGTAGGAGATAGGAATTTGGTGAAGGCTCTGAGAGGTGAAATTAATACGATAGTTGCGTTTACACTAGAGGTCTGGAATGTTGTAGTAGCAAAATACAAATTAAAGAGAGGGATACACACGCTGAGGTGGTTTGCATACGATTCCAATTTTAAACCAGGGGTGTACGATCCAGCATTCAAAGAATGGGTGCAAAAGGGCATAACAGCAATGTGTACGGTTTCAGAAAAGGGTGAATTGATGGGTTTTCAGGAATTACAGGCAAAATATGGTACTACAGACAGGGATTATTTTAGATACATGCAGTTAAGACACTATTTTGTAAAAGAGATAAGGCTGAATGCAGATGAATCTTTAGATACTGTAACTGGGGTGATTGTGGATGCGTATCAGCAGAAGGGGTCCCGGATCATTTCTGCTTTCTACCAGGCTTTGGGGGGAAACAGGGGGGAATCGACTATCTACATAAAAGCAAAATGGGAAGTAGAGTTACAAATTAAAATTTCAGAGGAAGAATGGTTTCAAATGTTCGAGACGCAATTTACATCCACAAACTCATTAGTATGGAGGGAATTCTGCTGGAAGAACCTGACTCGCTTTTTCATAACACCCAAAATAAAGGGCAGGCAACTTGGTGTACAGCAAGTGTTGGAGGGTGTGTGGCAACATGGAGGCTAACCACTCACACATTTTCTGGAACTGTACAAAGATAAGGTCATATTGGGAGAAGGTTAATGCAGTTGTCAAAATTATTTTGGGTTATGGAATCCCAAATACCTGCCCGGTGATGTATCTTGGGAACATTAAGGATGTTGTGATGGGAGGCGATCTATATTTGATTAAGGTTTTACTTGCAGCGAGTCAGAAAGCTATAACTAGGAATTGGCTTAATGTGAACGCTCCGACTCAGGAGCAGTGGCTGGAAATTGTTCAAGATATTTTCGTCATGGAAAAGCTGACATATGTTTTGAGAATCCAAGAGAATGCATTCAATAGGAAATGGGAAAAGTGGAATATTTACATGGTTGACACCAATGAGTAAGTGAATGACTAATTCAATCCTGTACGGTATGTGTGAATATTGAAGGTCTTCAGACAACTAGTATTTATTGTGCTTTATTTTACAACTGATTTGTGTGTATTATGTTTTGTTGTTCTGTTATTATTGTTGTGAAAACTCAATAAAAGCATAAGTGTAAAAAAAAAAAAAAAAAAAGAATAATGGGAAAACCAACAATAAAGTAATTTACACATTTTTTTAACCCTTCTTTCATTTTCAATTTTTTTTCTATGAATGCTTTCATGTTCTCTGCTTCTCTGCTTTTCTTCCTGGTTAAATCTAGAAGACACTCCCAGTGCATTTCTCCTAACCTCACAATCAAACTGAGCACTAGGTTTCTAATTAGATTGGCGGTGCAGTTCAACAATAATTTGACACGTGGCTCAGTTTTGCAGCCTCGCTCTCCTGCAGTCCCTTATTAGTTCCAAAAACTGAGCAATGTGTGACGGCAAACAATAAGCACTGATTGCTCCCTTTGAGACCGTTATATAACAATGTTATTATAGCAATTATGTCTCAGAGAACGATGTTCCACACACCCCTTTAGGGTAAAACTAAAACATGCACAGTCAGAAGAACTTTGTGAAGCAGGGGGGAGTTAAACACATATAATATACACTTCTGAAAGTGGAAGCCAAGGTGAGAAGAGGCACAGACGTTATCTGAACTTTAACAGGATTTCTATTATTTAAAGTGACAGTAATGTATGTTAATTTAAGCGTATATGTCATTAAAACAAATGTTCTACCACACATACACACATTTGTACATGCACTTTGTGTTGGTACGCACTGTGCACCAAGCGAACTGATGAAAATGTCACCTTTGGGTGTATCTTGTAAAAATCCAATGATGTGAGTCAACAGAATGAATTAGCATTAGATAATCTTAACCAGCCTCACAAACACCAACACACCAGAATACATAACAGTTATGTAACCAAACTTGTTGTGACATGATTAAAAAAAGTACAAAAATAACACCACACACTGCAAACGCTGCTCTGGCGAACAGGCATCATTCATCAGCAAGCACTTTAACACCAGAAAGGACCTTATGTCAGGTGTTTCTTCCCAGGTGTCTTGGGGACATGGTGCCACAAATGTCTGTGTTTGAGTCCCACAAGTAAGTCCTTAATCCTGACAACAGTGAGAGAGAGATGGCTGCACTTCCAGATGTAATCTCTCCAAGTTAATGTGCTCCTTTCACATCATTGCTGCTTTCTTTCTGACCAACTGGAACCAAAAGCATCCACACAAGCAGCAACCTGCAACAAAGAAAAGTGACAGTGTTTTAATGGTATCAAATGTGAAATGTAGTTCAGAAACATGACAAGTGTGCCTTATTGTATATCTATCTTGGACTTGGAAAAAGGCACGTTTCTTTCATAATCAGTTGCCAAGAGACAATGAAAGCTACAAAAAAAGAAAAAACAGTGAGAGCTAAAAATAAGCCCAGATGTAGCTGCAACGTCGCTTATGTAAGATCTGCAGAAATTAATTAGCAGATGTCAGTACTAGAGGGTGTGAGGGCAGCGTTGAGTAAAACACAGTCCAACTCATTGTTACTTACCTCCATTTTAAATTAACTGCACGGCTCCAGTCGAGACAAGTGGTGCTATAGTTCGATACCGCATTAGATGCTGAGAGCCCTCTTCGAGATCTACAACGTACTCTCTGATAGAAGAGACAGAGTAGAGATAAATCAGTTATTTACGCAGAAAAATCAAACAGTACTGAATGTGAATAGTGGACACTGCTAGATCTGCAAAATTAATCCGAAGTCTATTGAAATTGCAATGTGTAATATCCAAATGCAGAAAGCGCAATATTTGGAAAAGGCAAAATATGTGAACTCAGACAGAGACCTACAAACAGTACTGAACAGACTTAATAAAAAAAATCCTTGTTTGGAGGCCCTATTTTGTCTTCTAGTTTTCTCTTTACTGTCGTGTTTAATATAGATTTAAGTGCATGTAAATGGTCTGCAAAGGCTGAAATCTCAAATTTCCCTCCAGAGGGAGTCTCTCTCCCACACACTCCCCCCCCCCTGCCTGAAATGCTTCAATTGTACTCTTTTTTTTTTCATAACATAGTGACAACATCACTATATAACACTCGCACTTCTATTGGCTAGCGCTCCAACACATTGTGCGTGATAGGCTAAGGGGCGGGACATCTCTAAGCGGTTGACCAATCACAACAGAGCCGGCCAGCTAACCAATCAGAGCACAGAGGGTGAAAAGAGGTGCTGCAGCACAGGCAGTATGAGAAAAATAAAGAGCTTTTTGAACATTAAAGCATGGAGACATGTAGCAGTAGAGACACTAAATCCAATACGAACTTGAAAGGTAGCAAAATAAGGCCTCTTTAAAAATGTAAATATATTTTACATATATTTTTCAATGATAATGTGACTAATGATACAAAAATACTCATTCCCTCTACTGTTGTGAATCATATAGCAATTGCAGTCAAAATAATGATAATTAGTGTTTTTGTCCAATTCATGCAGCCCTAGACAACTGCCATCTGGTGTTTGTACCAACAATTAAAACGTACCTCTGATCGTCTGTTTCGGGCTCGACCAAGATGTTTTCCTGTCTCTCCTTGACTCGTAGAAACACAAAGGAGTCCAGGCAGGGCTCAGGCACTGGAACAACACACATGGTTTATTGTGAGGGGCAGTGAAAATGTCAAGAGCAAATGCCACCAACTGCCACTGAATGCTAATGGCAGTATTTCAGGCATGAGACATCCAAGAGAGAACAAATATAAATAGAGCGTGTCAGGTGAAAAGATAGAGAATACAAAAGAGGTTTTACCTGCTTTGAGCATGTCCACGGTCTGCAGGTTGGGGGGCATGCGCTTCAAAGCTACAGCCTTCAGGTAGGTTTCTGTGTTGGCATAGTACCTGCAAGCCAGATGAATGTGTGTTATTACACTTCAATGTCACAGAAACAGCTGTATGCACATTATAAACTCCATTATACTCACTCTTTGGCAAAAGCAAACTCCTCAGGTGAAAGTAGAGATGGATCCCCCTCCCCTCGAGACTTTTCTTTCTCCAGGACATGAGGGAAGAACTTTTCAATCTAGACATAAGTTGTACAATTAAAGGTAGGGTAGGTAAGTTTGAGAAACCGGCTCGAGATACACTTTTTGTTATATTCCATGGAATGCTCTTAACATCCCGATAGCAATGAATATCTGAAGTGCTTTGACAAAAAAATCCATAAAAAAATGTCATCTGTGGAAGCCGTAATACTGTAAAAAGTACGACCAATCATTTTAGCCGGCCCGGCTAAAATAACTGGATGGCCTACCTGCCTGTCAGCCTTCCATCTGTGCACAAACTTATCTCGTGCCCTCATTGGTCATGTGCGCGTTTGTGTGTGTTGGAGGAGGGGCTCTGTAAGGAAGTGGCAGATTTTCTCCGGTTGTGTATTTTCAAATTATAGCGCACTCGAGCCGGTTTCTCAAACTTACCTACCCTACCTTTAAGCTATTGCTTTTATAAAACGGTTACCAAGTGTGGCAATATGAAAGAAAAATACGCATGTCCGTTTTATAAAGATCAGGTCATTTTGTCAAAAGGCAGTAGGTGGAAATAGAGCTTTATTTTTAACGCCGTAGTGTTGATCTTACTGACCTTCTGCAGACGGGAGCGCAGGTAACTGCTGAGCACAAAGCGAATCCGGTCTATTTCCATGCGATGGATACTGGCCTTTGCATCTCCCTTCTTCACCCGCTGCAAGTTTTCTTCCTGTTGGAAAGGTCAGACATTTTTTTATTACGTCACTGAACAAGTACAGACATTATTGACAAATCTCAATTTTGATGTGTCTTATTTTTCCAATGTAGTATTACAATGCTCTATTGATTTGGATTTGTCACTGGTTCACATAACATGGAAGCTATTGAAAATAAACGAGACCTAACTATCTCGTCAGGCAATGTGCTATCTCGGAAGCTATTGAAAAAAGTCATAGAAATATAAGAGTTTTAATTAAGATTTTCATATGAAATATATGTAGTTATAAAACCCAATATAAAGAGCTTATTAGTCCAGTCCACCTATAATATGTGGTATGGATTAGGAGTCACTGGGTCAAAAGTAACAGAAACTATAGAAAATAACTCAAATGGTCTTCCTTTAAAATATATTTCTAAAATCAGATAACGACACATCAGTAATCAAAAAAAGGTGTGCCGCAGAAATGTTTTTAACCATCATTTTTACTAGTTTGAGCAAGTTTGCAAAGAGGTATTTTAAAAAACCATTGGGGTGTGTGTGAAAACTGACTATGAAATACTCATCCTAAAACTAACTCCGTCGCCGTGCTGTATGAGCTGTTTTGTGACATTTAGGAAATGTATGTAGACTCATGAGTCTTTCTGTAATTGAGAAATGACACATGGATGTGGAGGTATTCCCTGTGTAGTTTACCATGTGAGTGAGCTGCTCCATCACACACTCCACCACCTCAGATTTGTTCTCCTGCAGCTCTGGGGAAAACTTCTCATTCAGCCAAGCCTGAGAGAGAGAGAGAGAGAGAGCGAGAGAGAGAGAGAGAGAGAGAGAGAGCGAGAGCGAGAGCGAGAGCGAGAGCGAGAACGAGAGCGAGAGCGAGAGCGAGAGCGAGAGCGAGAGCGAGAGCGAGAGAGAAGCACAGCTGTGAGCAGAGGTGTAAAGTAACTAAGTACATTTACTCAAGTACTTAGGTACAATTTTGAGGTACCTAAACATTTCAGATGTGTGTATCTCACACTGCACTGTAACTTCTATTCATGTATCTTTGCTTTTAAATTAGTGTTTTTAAATGCCATTTCATATCGTTGCTTTTAAATGAGTGTTTTTAAAAATGTAATTTCATAATATGTTTCTTAATGCTCTTAATGTCTTTCATTTTTGTAAAGCACTTTGAATTGCCTTGCGTCGAAATGTGCTATGTGAATAAACTTGCCTTGCCTTACTAGCACTTTACTTGAGTGTTTAATTTGTGGATACTTTGTACTTTTACTCCACTTGAGTATTTAATACCTTTAGTTACTTTGCAGATTTGGATTAATGATGTGAAATATAATCAACACTTCAATATGATTTTAGTTACACCTGGTTCAACATTCAAAAGCTACCCTGCAGTATACAAAGTAATTAAATGAGCTGCACCAGCTTCAATAAACACATTAATACATCAGAATGACAACATATAATACATTATTCTGAAATTGGCCAATCTGCATAATGAGTACTTTTACTGTTGGTACTTTAAGTAAATTCTGATGCTAATTATTTTCTATGTTTACTTGAGTAACATTTTGATTGCAGGACTTTTACTTGTAACAGAGTATTCCTACACTCTGGCTATGAGCATGCTGTCTAAACAGGAGGAGTATATTTTGCTAAACACATTATAGGAAGTATATGGCAATTCCTGTGACAGTAAATGTTAAGTGCGTTAAATCATCTCACTTCTTCCAGTTTGGCTATGAGCTCCGCCGGGGTCATAACATCCTCCTGACTGTCATCCTGGTTCACGCTCCCGTCATCAGACAAAGCGTCCGACATAGTTTTCCTTTACGAAGCAAACAGACAAAGTACTAAGCTTAACCGAAAAGCTAACAGTATGTGAAGCTCTTACACTAAATTGTACACAGAATCAAACAGAACAGGTTGGAAAAAAAATTACTAAAAGGCTAACACAGGCTACACAGCAGCGTGTATTTACTGGAGAAGCTCTTGTTTATTCGCGCCACTACGCCTGTTCTCGCGAGATTATGGTGTTGTTATTTCCCCTACGATAGGGCTGTAAGGCAATGTGTGACACAGGCTGTATGTCGTTTGAACACAAATAAACAGGTTACACAATAAAATACTTTCGTTTATAGACATTAAGTATAGATGTCCTATCTTTGTTCGTGTGAGCTTCTGCTTTGCCAACCCTAATAGAGGGAATTATAACACTGTCGCGGAGCAATGCTTCCTGACAGTCTGAACTCAGGGAGCTGAACACCAGCATTATCAACACAAGAAGCACCAATATTGCTAAAATAAATAATAATAAAAGGACTATAGGCCTACTCTGTTTTGTGAAATGATGGTAACATGTACAGCAAATTCTATTTCTACTGATATTTCTTTATTTTAAATAATACAAAATGAATGTGCATTTCATAAAAAATAGTCATTAAAATGTGATTATAAATGTGAAAGGATTGACAAAACGGAACTATAGCTGCAGGCAATGACAGCATGGGATATAAACAAAGCACAAAATTAGTTTATTCACACACACAAATAAAAACTTAAATATTTCTGCAGTCAATCCTGTAACTTCCCATTTCCCACAGAGATCCCAAAAGTCACAACATGCCATGTCTCATCTTGACAATTGTGTCTCTCTTTCACCCATGTCCATCACTATCAGCTATAGTGTAGATTTAAAAGGGATGCATTATCTGCTTGGTTTGTTCCAGCTGCCTTGTTTCAGACCACATTGTGGCCTGCAGCATAGTCTCATTTGTCTGATTTCCTCTTTCTCTTTCCTCTTCATTGCTCTTGCCTCAGAATTCCTCGCTTTTCTTCACCACTAATGATCTTCCATCCGCTGTACAAGCAATGTAACGTTTAGTACTGCAAACTATTTCTCTTCGTAGCCTCTGGGTTTATCTGTGCTGCTGTACATCCTGCAGGGTTTAATCCAGGTCACACCAAATCCTGTACAGACGCAGTCATTTTATAAAGCAGATAAACAGACACAATAATCACTTAATTCAGAAAAAGGTTGTTTTATTTTTGTTTGAATAGCTGTGCATCGGGAGAAACATGAAAATACTGGCCAGTATTATCTATTTTTGTCATTATGACTTATTAAAGGTAGGGTAGGTAAGAATGGAGAAACCAGCTCGAGTAAACTAGAATTTGAAAGTACGCAGACGAAAGAAATCTGCCCGTTGCTTCAGACTTCCTTACAGAGCCCCTCCTCCAACACACACGAACGCGCACATGACCAATGAGGGCACGAGATAAGTTTGTGCACAGATGGATGGCTGACAGGCAGGTAGGCCATCCAGTTATCTGACCCGGGCCGGCTCAGATGATTGGTCGTGCTTTTTACAGCGCCACGGCTTCCACAGATGAAATTGTGTATGTATTTATTGTCAAAGCATTTAATGTATTCATTGCTATTGGGATGTTAAGAGCATTCCATGGAATATAGCAAAAAGTGTTTCTGAAGTGAATTACCTACCCCACCTTTAATGTCATTTAGTTGGAATGCTGACACAGCATTCCAACTACTTGTTATGCTATGCACGAAATTCTTTATTATTCCGCCTGGTTATTTTGCACCTCTTCTCCTCCCACATTCCACATCGCAGAAACTCCGTTCAAACATCAAAACGTTCAGGTCGGTCGGGAATCGATGGCTATTACTTTTCTCATTCATAACTTTCATAATTCCAGAGATACATCCCATAATTCATCACATTTTTAACATGAAAGTCAATGGAGAAACTCTTCAGACTTGAACAATCTTCATGCAAATTCAACTGCTAACTGCTCCTTCATACTTTCACTCAGAAACCTCATTCCAACTTTAAAATGTTACACATCTTTCTGACATTATTCGTGTTACACAACTTTTAAATCTGATTCGTACTTTTATAGATATTAAACATTGTTCAGACCTTGGTAAAGAGGCCTTCTTCAGATTTTAGAGTTTTTGCGTGATGTCACAGCTAGAGTGGAGGACAGATTTAATTTTGCCTTCATATTTTCTTTTAAACCTGCCATAATTCCCAAACCCTACATTCCTGAGACATCATTTTTCATGACAAACATAGGAAAACATCTCGTAGCTTGAAAAATTTAAAATAATTAAGCAAAATAATTAAACATTATTCTCCATTAAACCCCATTGTAAATTCAGCCTAATCTTTCCCCACCACAGCAGCCGCACACCTTTAGTGTAGTCTGGTCCGATCGCTCCCCAAACTTCACTTGTATATCACCTCTCCATGCCTCAAGAGCTTTACACCAAATCTGAGATCTCACCATAGGCTGTTGCCATAGAAACGCATCCCTCACCATAAAACACCTAGCTCCAATGGACACGGTCCGGTCGTCCCACAATCTTCACCTGTATATCACCTCTCCATGCCTCAACAGCTCTACGTCAAATCTGAGATCTCACCATATGCCGTTTCCATGGAAACGCATCCCTCGCCATAAAACACGATGTTGTCGTAACGCCTATGAAAAGGGTCAAAACAGCACCAGACTTCAGATAATGGTTAACGGTCCAGCCCTCAACAGCTCTACGTCAATTATGGGGTGTCATCATATGCCGTTTCCATGGAAACGCATCGCTCGCCATAAAACACGATGTCGCTATAACTCCTATGAAAATGTTCAAAAAGTGCTCAAACTTCACATGTGTGCTAACAGTCCAGCCGTGAAGACATCTACGGGACAGTTTTGAGATTTCTTCAAATGCCGTTGCCATGGCAACACAATGCTCACCATGAAACACGGTTTTCTCATAACTTCAGTGAAAATGCTCCAAACGGCCCAAAACTTCACACGTTTGGTAACGGTGCAGCCATCAACGCATCTAAGCGTATTATGGGATGTCATCAAATGCCGTTGGCATGGCGACAGATCATTCACCATCAAGTTAGTTCAAAAGTGTGCAGTTCAAATATTCTGCTGCTTTTCCATGCCTTTTTACTTTCTTTTCTTCTCTCATCACACATTCAAGCCCCCAGTGTTCATGTATCATTTCAATCTAAATTCTTCACTTTCTTCTTACACATTACATTTCAGCATAGCAGTTTAGCGTCAGCTTTTCAGCATAAAGCATTCCCACTAGCAATTTCTTCAGGAATTGCATTCTCTAGTTTATTCTGTTATTCACTTATTAACTGATAAAAAAACATATAAAACCATACAATAATGATGTCACTAACGCATGTAAGCAATATAAAATGAAAATGAAATGGTGGACAAGTTGATTTAGAAAAATCTTTAATAATTAAAGAAAAGTTGTCTATAAAAGATTATGGCACTTATTGTGAAATAGTATATGATATTTTTTCAGTATCTTTCTAAATACAAAACAAGGGGTCATTTTTTGATTTTGATGTGTTTTTTTATTTATTTACAATAATTTAGTTACAAAAGAAAACAATAATATATGAACGACAACAAGATCTTCGTATAATATCTTTCAAAATATTAAACACTGATCCATGGTACATACAGTATTTACACCGTGTCATAATGTTCGACTAACTTCACAATACAGTACAGTGAGAAAGTTATTTAACACAAAGTATTGAAAATCCAATGTGCGACAACTTGTTAAAAATGTTGTTTGTTCATCTCCTTATGTTTTAGAGTAAAATATACAAAGAGTTTTTCACTCAACAAATGGACACGTTACAGGTTATCAATGTCATGATTTAATATAATTACTGCTATAAAAACAATAACACATTTGCACAGTTCTGCTTTGAGTTTATAAATGATGCGCCCGTGTGATGCATTTGGATGATTCAACCTGTGATCCTATAAATACTGTATATCTATATCTTCATTTCCCTTCAGTGTAGTTTGGTTCAGGCCACAGAAGGTCAACACAGGCACACGGTTAATGATAGTAACTGGTGAAGCCACATAACTTAAATATGTGGGTGTTACAATCTTCAGCCGTCACCGAAATTAGAGCAACACAAAGTGGACCAATGGCTGCTTTCCTCAATGTAAAGATGAACTTTAAAGTTATTTTAATTCAAGTCTGATGTTAAAATACAAAGAATCAAAGCTTGTGAGGGTACATTTGATGCATGGCAGGTAGGGTATATCCAGTTTGGGGATTTAACAGAGGGATGGAGTAGGGATACGGGTAAACAGCAGACCCAATGAGAGCCGAGTGAGCAGAACTCATCGGGTGGTGTCGGTACATTATCTGAGAGGGAGGTAGTCTCATTCTGTGTTGGAGAAATGCCGGATGTAACACAGGCTGGAGCCGAGGGTCTCTGGACAGAACGTAGGACATAGGCAGGCTGGAGGGGGGGTGGGCCGGACTCTGCTGAGTGGGGGGAACTTTTTGCAGCATTGTCCTGGATTTCTCCCTCTTCTCTGTCTGATAAAGCCACGGTGCTGTGTTGTTCTTCTTCAGACAGGTCACAGAGTTGTCCTGCTGCATTTTATAACTCGGCCGAATAGGAGCGGGCCGCAGAAGCTGCAAGGATTTTGGAACAACTTTGGTAAAACTAGAGGTAGACGCTGGAGCCCAGTCAGATCTCACCATGAAAGAGGAGGATGAGTGCAAAGGATGTGAGTATTTGACACTCCCTTTGTGGATTGGCATCCAGTCTTTAATCTGGGCTGTGATATAGTCTGCAGATGGGAGTGTGATGTCTTTATTCTGTCTTGCAGGATCTTTTGATTTCTGACTACAGCTCACAGCCTCCTCACCACAGGGGGTCCTTTTTACACCATTTTTGGGTAGTTCAGAGCTTGATGTAGGTTTTTCTTTACTTCCTTCAGAACCGTCCTCTGAGGAAACAGAGAGAGGGGAAGTGCTGCGTGAAGATGAAGGAGATGAAGGAAGCGGGGAGCTGTCAGAGGAGTTGCAGTTACGGCCTGAAGAAGAAGCCCTGGCTGGAGACTGGGAGCAGTGGATGACGGAGGGCCTTTCTTTATCCTCTCTCTGAGGACTCAAGGGCCGGTTAAGACTCGCCTGAGCCATACGCTTCTTTTTCTCCAGGGGTGAGATCACCTCTCCGGCAGCTGAGGGGATTTGAGAGGTCCAGGGTCCGGATGGAGGGACCTGGACAAGGTGGGTATAGATAGGAGAGCAAAGGCTGGTGGTGGCTCTGTTTGGTGGAGAGCAGTCTGGGTGGTGTCTATCAGAGGTGGAGGTCCAGAGAGGAGGCAGCACTGCTTCACTTTGGCTGGAGGCCTCTGGACTTCTCTGGGTGAGAACCTACAAAGCGATAAAGATTATGTTTTAGGACACTTTATATGCAAAAAGGCTATATTTCTTTCTCGTAAAGGTCCCCTATTATACTCTTTTTCATCAATATATTATAGGTCTCAGATATATACAAAACATATCTTTGAAGTGTTTGACTCCAAACACCAAACTGATCATTGCAGCATCCCATAATCCCCTCTGTTTCAGCCCTGTTTCAAAAGTGCTGATTCTCTGTCTGTTACTTTAGATGAAAATAAGGAGCCACTCCCCACGCCCCTCTGAGAGATATTTGGTTAAAACAAACCCAATGGTGCTCTAGGAGGAGATTCAGGTGATAAGGTGGGGTGGGGGGTTACCTTGGTTGGTGATTGGCTAATGGTTACACAAGCCAAAACATCGTTATGACATCATAAAGTGGCCAAAATCTGATCAGCTCATTTTCAGACAGGTTTTTATATAAATGGATCAGGACAAAAAGAGAGAGAATCTTTTTTCCTGAAACTTTCAGAATCTCTTTCCACAGAGGGGACACATGTTGATGTATAACAGACATGAACAAGTGGATTTTGCATAATAGGTGACCTTTAATGATGCATTTGAATAGTTATAACATGTTACCTCCATCTCTGAATCCATGTCTCTTTCCGACTCAGTCCGTTTCCTCTTCTTCTCAACCTTCGTGATCTTGCCATCCGAATTTCTCTTATATGGCTTCCGCGGTTTGCTTGGAGGCAGAGGTCTGTCCTCCTCTCCTTTTATGTGTCTCTCAAAAGGCAACACCAACCTAAAGAAACACATATCTGATTAGAAATTCAGTTTTATTGTGAGGTATCGACAAGTAAGGTAGAAACAGAATCTCCCTCACTTCTCGTAGTGTCTGCGAGTGCATGTAGCAGCGCTGGTGCTTCCTGGACTTCCTCCCAGGTCATCATACACTTTCTTCCAAAGACGTCGAGCTGTCACCTGTTGGACAACAAAGGGTGGAAAAAAATATATTTAAATAAGTGCGAAGAAACTGTCTTATTTTAGGATAAATAAAGGCTTATATTCCCAGTGCTCTTCTCGTGTTTAAACTAAAGGGCTGCTTAGTTTCCTCCTGCCACTAGGGGGCGCAGAAGAGCTCAAACTTAAAATATAAAACACACAACATTAACCACACACTCTTAAAATTGAGTTTTGATGAATGATTACGATAAATAATAAACAGGGAATATTATTTCTTATTTCTCCCTGTGTGCTTTCCTGTCCCAGATGTGTCATGTGCTTTGACCAGGGTCTGCTTTCAATTCTAGTTTTAAAACCATTTTGAGGAAGGGAGTTGGCTGGTTAACATTTAAAATGCCATGTCTGCTGTTTTTCAAAGACACTTTCATTTTTAAAGTGTACACAATGTGTGGATGGCTTATATTGTGTGGACAGCCTGCGACACAGTGGCAGCGGAGATGTTGGTGGTGAGGGGTCAACTCTGTTTGGGGCCTCAACCCCACCCTTAATGCTATTTTAACAAACACCCTGACACATAGACTATAAGGTCCCATACTGTCAACATCAAAGACAACAGAGCAGCGAGAGCTAGATGTCCTCCACTGTGGTTGAAACCTTGCACCTGACCTATATTGGTAATGTTCCACTTACATGTACACTCAAACACACAACACTCAAAGGACTATGAACAAAGATAAGAGTCAGAAATGATGTATGGGTTACACATCGGGGACATTTACTACATTACAGGGAAAGGGAGGTTGAGGATCAGAGGCAAAAATAAAATGTGTAGACTAACATTAAATAAAGAGGTAAGAACACATCAATAAAATAATTGCACATCCATGGTAGCATTATGAAAGTGAGCATATAAATGAAGTGTTGGAAGAAGTACTCAGATCCTTTAAAACTAAGTAAAAGTACAAATACTATTGGACTTAAAATATTCGACTACACGTAAAAGTCCAAATTTTACTTAAGTAAAAGTACTCATTCTGCACAATTACCCGTTACAGAATAATATAAAGTACAGATACTTCAGTATCAACAGTGATGTACTCGTTGTGTGGAATTGATCTTATCACAGTATTGTATTGTTATTATGTTTATTTTATTATCCTGTTTTTATAGATCTAAGATCATTACGGTCTTGTAGTTGGTCAAGGTGGACCAAATTTGAAATACTGTGTAGATTAGTAGTACAGTTCTGCATTATACCATATCAGCATATCATGTTTTTATACATAAAAAGTAACTGTGAGTGTTAAATAATAATAAATAAATGTAGTGGAGTAAAAAGTAGGATATTTGCCTCTGAAATGTAGCGGAATAAAGTAGCATTAAATGGAAATACTCAAGTAAAGTACAAATATGTCAAAAAGGTACTTGAGTACAATACTTGAGTACATGTACTTAGTTACTTTCGACCACTGTATACAAGTAAATAAAAAAGCAGTCAGTGACAACATCAATTCATTGTAAAAAAGTATGTGTTGCACAATGATGTTACAGCCAGAAGAATAATGTAGCAGCCAGTAATTACAGTAATATTCCACAGAAGAGTAAAACATTCTTACTGAATCATAGCCCCCAAGTTTCTCCACAGCTTTGTGGATCCTCCAAAGATTAACTGGGGGAAAACAAACATGAGAACAGTATTAATTTCAATCAAATACCAAGTTAATATTGTCTTTCATTCAACAGCAGGAACCGCCCCAATGAACTCACTCTGTTTGAAGCCCAGATGTGGGATCCTTTCGATGGGAGTCCCTCTGTCCTTCATGAAGGAGTGCAGACTGGATACAAACGCCTTCTCCTCCATCTGCACTTTACCGGGCCTCGCTTCTTCCTCACATTCAGTCATTGAGTCTTGAATTTCGATGACTGGGGGAGAAGCCTGGCGAGGAGAAAACAGATGCCGTATGAAAATCAAGTGGTAACACAGTCTACTGCACCGAAATAGAAACCTGTTTTACAGTTGAAGGTATTGTCATGGATGGGAAATAAGCCACACGTATGGGATGCAAATGTCTTATAGGAAACATCTAAATCAGAGAGCAGGGTTTTACCGCTACTTTCAATAGATAACCGCTAAACATCCTGTCTGGAGAGAAAGCAGCAGACTTGGGGTTTTTGGTCTAGAGTTGTCAGTCTATGGTATCACAAATGTCACTTTGAAACACAAACATAAGCCAAAATAAGGATTTTAAAGACATTAAAGTGTTGTTACAAAATCAGAAGTGACTGATGAGAAGCTAGACTTCAAGGCTGCTTTGTAATTTTCTAAGAAATAACTAGTTGCATGTTTGCTATTGTTCTGCAGAAATAGGGTCAGTTACTTTGAAGATAATTTAAATATACTGAGAAAATGTAAATGTTTCAAGCGTTATAACCCAGACTACTTGGAACTGCAGTACAAGAAATTGACAATGTCACTATTTGTGGTTTGCAAGAAAGGAGAAATGAAACAGTGAAGACATGCAGAAACAATGTCATCAGATAGAAACGTTTCAAGAAGTACAAAAGAACGAAGACTTGTTGCATGACTTTAAAAGTTAGATTTTGTGATTGTGCATTTAATTTATCTCTCAAAATAACTTTTCAAAGGGCAACATACAGTAAGTGCTAGAAATAATTGGGGTTTGTTTGTTTATAAGTGCAACTATATTGTTAAACTGGCTTTATGAGCACAACTGCCCACTCGCTAGCTTGTCAATAGAGACCACAATGGACAGTGTCAATATTTTTACTTTGAATCAGCACAGGCCAGAGCTGCTTTATTTCAGTCGCAGTCATTGTAAAACAAAACAGCTCGACGTGGTTTCATATTGAATAAAGTTCCTCTATGTGGTTCCTGGTTCCGAGAAGTAGGCCTCTAGAGTGAGTAATAGTGAAGGTGGAGGCCTCTAACCAAGCAGCACCGACTGAGTCACAGTTCAGCAGATCCTCACCGCTCCTCCCAGCAAACAGCTTCTCTGATGCTATTCTGAGTCATCTGAAAGGGGATGTTTCAATTTCACACCACTTAAAATTCTTCATTTTCAGAACTGTAAGGCTGATTAACACCAGTTTGCAGCTGCATCTAAAATCTAAAGAATGGGATGCATTTATTTATTTAAAATGCTAAATGTTGCTTGGTATGTTGAATTAAGTTCACAGGTGATTTTCAGTCACTGTTCTGAGATCTGATTCACAAAATGCATCAATGATTGCCAACAGGAAATGTGTGCACTCAGACATTACACTGTGCCCCTTTGCACATTTCACATATCAGTGGTGGAAGAAAAAGTCAAATGCAGCAATACTGGATTGTAAAATTAAAAGTAAAAGCCCTGCATTGAATATCTTACTATAGTCAAATTAAACAAAGTTTCGGCATCAAAATATACCAAAATTCCCAAAGAATAAAAGTATGTGTTAAGGCCCATTTCAGAATCATATTCAATTCAGAGGTTGAAGAAGATTATTTACATAAGTAAAAGTATCAGCAATACCCTGTAACAAAATACTCATATACAAGTGATAGTCCTGCATTCACAATTGTACTGAAGTCAAAGTAAAAAAGTATCAGTATTTAAAAATACTTCAAGTTCCAAAAGTAAAAGTACTCATTATGCAAAATAGCCATTTAAGCACCAGATCTTTTTTTAAATTATTTCACTAAAATGATTGATGCATTAATCATCACTGCAGTGTTGCACATGGTAAAGGTGGGGTTTAAATTATCTACACACTACTGGGTAGCTTTACCCATAATGATACATTATAATGTGTGTCGATTTACATTTAGTATTAATAACATATGGAATGTAAATATATAAAATAGATGTCGTGGAGTAAAAAGTACAACATTGTCTACAAAGTGTAGTGGCGTAAAAGTATAAAGTATGTATAAAGACTTACGTAAAGTACTAGTACCTCAATGTGTTACTTAATTACAATAAATAATGTACTTAGTTACATTACATTGATTACTGGTGCGAGAATGTGTTCACCACAGCTAGTAAACATGAAGCTTATTGAATTATTTGGATATCTTAGCCTATATTTGTCAAAGTTTATTTATCTTTTGTATTACCTAATAATCTGAATCTGTATTAGCAGTAGATATATTTAGTGGATGGAAGATTACATTATTGGCTTCTAAAATGTAATGGAGTAGAAGTGTAAAAGAGCATTAAATGCAAATACTCAGGTAATACTCAAGTAAAAGTACCTAAAAACTTTAGTGAAGTACTTCATTACTTTCCAGCACTGCTCTATATACACTGAATATCATTGTGAGACCTTCTCTTGATTTCCTCTAGTTTCATTTTTTTGGAAAGCCGTGTGGGTGATGTTGATGTCAGTGTGTGAATATGTGATTCTCACAATGATTGTCGGTGGCGTGCTGGATTGATGCTATCTGCGGGCCAGAGGTCACCACAGAAACCACCGCGCTTTCATCTAGCATCAGCTCTGGAAATTTCATGAGCGAATTTCTGCCTCTCATATTGTAACTTCTTGATTCAGTTACCAGAACAGCATCTCACAAGGAGCTCCTCACAGTTTCTGTATGTGCAATGAAAATATTGTGGTGTGTCTGATGGGGTGAGATGTGCGTGCGATCTGTGACCCTCTCAAGATACAGAGAAGTAACACTCATTCCTTGTTAGTCATTTCACAATCAGCCATCAAGATGAAACGACTGTACACACACTATTAAAAAAAAATTAGCCAACGTATCAATTTCACCAGGAAAAAGGGAAATGAAAGCAAAAAGCATGGCTCTCTGTGAGGAGTCATGTCTGTAGTCACTGATTAACTGTAACTGATGGAAATTGCCCAAACTGTTGCCAGACGGCCAACTGACTTTTGAGGTTATCACCTGCGTCTCCGGCCCTTTGTCTTCGTCACTGGAGGCTGTTTGTTGTGACGTCTCACTCTGATCCTCTTGAGCTTCATGAGAAACACAGCAAGACAAGACAGTTATTGAGAGTAGTGGGAATCTGAATTCAAAGAACCTCAGTCGAGGAAGCAAGCACTTCTTCATTACAAGAAATATTGTTAGTCTTGAATGCAAAACAGGTTTAAAGATATCTTTCAGAGGAACGCATTAAAGCAGAAACTCATCACTGCTGGGAATTGGGTCGTTTTTTACGTAATTTGCTTGATGGTCGGATGACAGATAAACACAGAAAATTGAAATCTGATGAGCTTATTGTCAACTGAGTTTGATATAAAAAACCACAGGTTACAAAACCACTTCCTGCTCGTGTACATAACCACTTGTATGCTGCACTGTATGATATCAGAACACATACACTATGATATTCGAGGTGATCTAAGAAAATAAACTGCAATGTTCTTAACCTAAAGCATTACTACTTATCATTCCTTGTTTATAGGTAACAAGTGGACAGATGGGCTTTATATAAACAACACTGCACTTGTTATGTTTCTAGTATTAGAATATGAGATATTGAGCAATATTGTACTCAATCTCGTGTCTAATGCATGTGTCAACATTGAGGAGCACACTAATGCATTTTGTGAGAAATGAGGAAAGGATAATCAAATTACAAGCCCTGGGAATACAATGTGATTCTGAGAATTACGTTTTTTTTTTCTTCACAAACTGTGAACTCTAAACCTCGCCCCTCATTGATATCACTTGTGTGCAAAACCAATATGCTTCTCTTTTGAGATCGCTTGTTTCCTGTGCTGTGGCTTGAACCTTTAATTCTGCTTTCAGTAGCCTCTTACTTCTCCATTTCCCGTGTGTTGAACAAATGTTTTTGACAAACTGTATTATTTACCCAAGAACATTCAAACAAGTGATGGTTCCTTTTATAGGTTTGTTTTGTTGTCAAATAACAATCCATTAGCCATTTATCATGTGTGATCTCAGGCAGGATATTGTGATGAAATCATTTTAGCACTTGCAGTTTATAATAAATTCCTAAAGCATTATGGTTTTGTAAATCAATTTAGTTTTTTTTCTTAGTTATTAATATATTTGCCTTAATTTTGCAAAAACAGACAGTTTCGGAATATTGTATAAACAACATTAGTAACAATTTAAGTGTCTATACATGCAGTATATACCACAATATTCAATACATACAATTACATAAAACAGTAAATAAGAGTATTTTTTAAAAGTCAAAAGCTCTTCTCACCCATTTCCAGAAGTGGTCTGCTGCTCTCTGTCTGACAGTGTTTAGTAACAGTAATTCATGCGGGGCTCTCTTCAACTTCACACCACCAAACAGGAAGCTGTCTCCACGCAACAGTTTCATTGGTTGTTCTGCTCGCACCGCAGCAAATGAGTCTGGGAAACTGAGTCCTTTCTTTTGTTATTCACATCTCACATTGTTTGATATCATAGGCTGACATTGTTTCTGATGCAATATTCACTTTGTAGTTCATTATCAAGTTCCTGAAAAATTAACATGAAGATGATGAAGCTTATGTTTACATTTGTTGTATTGTGCACACAAGTATGTAAAGAATACAAACACATTCCTTCCATACAGCTTCCATGATGTATTAAATACAGTTTATTAAACAATGATTTTAGTCTGGTCACCTTCAGTGTACAGACTCAAATTCACCAAAATAGCTCACTTTGGGGAAGTGAAACCAACATTTAACTGTTTCCCTTTAAAGGTTTAGTACAATAACATTTCCAAAATGTTGTCAAATAAAGGAAGCCCGGCTGTGCACGGCTGTTCATATCATTGCTGATTAATCATCTTGGAGCTGGCTAATGAATACTAATGTTCTGTTTGATAAAGTGTTTAAAGGAAGAGACATTTCCTGGTGCCACAACATATTTCTAAGAAGCACAACACAAAGTATGAAGTATCACAATGAGTAAGCACATTAAAAGGAACCTGTTTGTGAATTTGAATTAAAGGTCCCATGTCATGGCCATTTCTACTGATCATTGTTGAGGTATACTAAAATACATTTATATTGTGCAATTTTCCAAACTCACATTGGTTTCTCATACAGCATCTCTGTATAGTATGTGTATTCACTCTCTGTCCTAAACGACTTGTTGGAGCTCCTGCCCCCCCCCCCCCCCCCCCCCGTGAGCCCAGTGGCCGCCTGCGAGACAGCGAGACACAGCGAAACCTAGCCCGAAACACACACACGCACCCGCAGCCTGGCTGGGAGTTTGTGTGTGTGCCCAGGCTGAGTTCCGCGGTGTCTCGCTGTCTCGCCGACCCCACACCAGTGAACCAGCAGCGAGCCTCGCAACGTCCCGCCGAGTGTGTGTGTGTGTGAGGAAGTCCGCGGATTGGTCCAAACGTAACGGCTCCGCGGACGTAACGTAACGGCTCTGTGGATTGGTCCAAATGTTACGTTACGTCACTATACCCGAAATACGTCACTATACCCAAGAAGTAAACAATGGAAAAAGAGAAATCTCCAACGAGGCGTTCTGGGGCAGCATAGACAGGCCTTTTCTGTGTTAGAGTTGTACTCGCTACAGGGTGTACTTTGAGGGTTTGTGACTCTGCAGACCGTTTACATAGCTACATAACACACAAGGGGACGAAGTTTTTTTTTCAAAATACCAAACAGATCATGCATTTTAGCCATGATAGGTCCCCTTTAAGTTTAAAAAAGAAAAACCAACAAAGCGAGTGTTTGCTCAAAAACACGTATGGGAGTTTTATTTTGGGAGCAGCCCTTATAATAAAACTAACTTTTATAACTAACTGGTTTAAATGAGTTAACGGCTCTAGTGTATATTGCATTTTTGCGAGTATCATAACATTCAAATAAACAATTAAATGAAAGCTTTAAACCCAAACCCAAAAGTAAGGTAAGTAAGTAAAATAGAAAAAATCTGCTGTTGTAACGGCACAAGTTTTAAAGGGACCCTATAATGGTACTTTCCAGGTTTACATTAGTATGTTGTGCCTCTACTGTGACACGTTTCCATGCTTTAATGGCAGATGTTTGACTCATTACAGCTGATATTATGAGTAAACACATAGGTAAATTAGTCGAATAAGTAAAAGGTTTGAAACCGGCTGATAGCTGCAAGGATAGAAACCTTACATTTAAGGAAGAGGTGAAGCACTACTTCTTTAAAATCCTTACTGGTCATTGCATGAAAAAATATTGGTTAAAAATAAAATGCCAGCACAATGCAGAAGTACTAGAAATGAGTGGAAGTTGTAATAAACGGTCACCACCTATTCCTCTTCTCACAGTTATGTGTCAAAGGGAGTTGTCTCAAGACTTAATGTTCCTTATGGTCATAGGGAGAAGATCAAGTTACTTTCCTACAGATTTCATATGTTATCCAAGAAGATATTAGATATATAATATCACATCCTTTTATGTTCTCGTGCAGTCACACTTAAAACTATTTGTATTTTCCCCTTATCTTCCTTTTACAGTGAAATGATGTGATAAAAACACAGACGGTTGATAAAGCTGCACTCGACACTATCCCCATTTCCTCCCCTTGTTTTTGAACTATTTAAAAGGGGGATGCCCTATTCCCCCATCTGTTGCGGATAGACTATGACATTTCAAAAATGATTAACATTTAAATGTCAAAATAACCGAATATCTACAAAATGTTCAAACCTCAGGAGGGATTTTTTTTGTTTTTGATTGATACGAAAAAAGTTATGTTTTTCCTTTTTGAGATGATTAACAAGAATCTCTGCAAAACTGTTGTGTTCAAACAGCATACAAACACAATTATAGGTGTACAATATAGAAATGAATCATCTAATCTAGGTAACACTTCGGATTCATTTCTTAAATGTGAAAACAGTGAACTTCATGAGGAATGCAGAAAAGAGAGTAACTTGCAGAGATAATGTGTGTGTGAGGAATAGTTTCGGCGAAAACTAAAAGGTACCATGGGGTCAGATTTGAATTTTCCAAAGGGGGGTTCGTTTAGCATGACACATTTAAAATAACTAAAGGACAAGTTAAACAAGAAAGTAGAAAGAAAGGGAGGTGATATAAAACTATTTCTGCTAAAAAGTTAGCAATGATTGAGTCAGACCTAAAGATTTCAGATGTGTGTATCTCACACTGCACTGTAACTTTAATTCATGTATCTTTTCTTTTAAATTAGTGTTTTTAAATGTCAATTCATAATATGTTTCTTAATGCTCTTAATGTCTTTCACTTTTGTAAAGCACTTTGAATTGCCTTGTGTTGAAATGTGCTATATAAATAAACTTGCCTTGCCTTGTTGTATTTGAACTTGTTGAATTACATATATTCATAGTTGTACAATGAGCTAAATAGGAAATTCCTTTTGATTCCACTTAATAGTGACAATATGTTTTGCCGAGCTTTGATCTCTTCTATCCCCTGCAAGCGATAACAAATGTGGAGAGCCGTTGAGCAAAAACATCAGTTGTGAGATTGAGAAATCCCCAGCTATTCATTTCAGACTTTCACTGACATAAACACGAGGTTGAGATGAGGGCAGCACGATGTAGATTACAGAACATATTGTGAATTTTCAGTCACTATCCTGGGAACAATCTGTAACTGGAGTCAGATTGTAGTCATGGTGAGAAACTGTCATAACTTGAACAGAGTTTTCCAGAATAAATTAGTTGTTTTTGTTTTAGGGATACAAATACACTAGCAGAAGTACATCAACAACCATTTGATTGAGCGTTAAAGGTGTTAAAAAGGGAAAGCTATGTGATACCCGTTTCTAGATAGTGTAGGTGGAAAAGGAAATTACTCTGAAACTAAATCCAGATAATAGGTTGATTCATTTAGTGACAAGCTAATATTAAATTACATTTAAAAACACAATTTCATACAAGCTGAAACTAATATTCTCGAAGTATTGAAAGCGCACTATAATAAATTATGTAAAGATGACAATTTAATGCAAGGCTTTACAGAAACTTTACTGAATGCCTACGACTTCAAAGTGTGTTTCTTAGGGAGCTTTATTCTGCAGGCATGTTTGATTTGCACATTCAAAATGTGTAAGTGAACAAAAACCCCAGCAAATATATTTTTGATGGGAAAAAGGTGGAGGCGTGTGGCGCAGTGGTTGTGCGTAGGTGTTCGGATCAGGAGGTCACAGGTTCAAACCCCACTGCAGTCAGCATGTCGTTGTGTCCCTGAGACACTTCACCCCAAATTGCTCCTGTGGGGACTGTCCACAGTATTGAGTATGTAAGTCGCTTTGGATAAAAGCGTCTGACATGTAATGTAATAATGTAACAAAGCAAGCAAGTATACAGATCTCCAAATTGTTTAAAGATATATTGAAAATCAACTATTGCTTTCTTTTTTTTCTCTTGTACGCCATGTAAAGGTTTCGGGTACCTACTTACTGTATATTGTGTATGTCTTTGCTTAATTGTAACTAAAACAATTCAAAATAAAGTATTAAAAAAAATACTTTAAAATATTTAATCACTTTAAATGAGTAGGACACATCTCTCGTAATTCAAGCGAACAGAGATGAAACTGCAGGATGTGGGAGAGGTGAAATCAGATGATGGTGTGAAAATGAAACCTATGCATTAGCGGTGAATTCCCCAGCTGTTGTTTAATTCCAGGAAACTGAAGAGCTCATAGTGAATCTGTGTATACATCGGAGTTCCTGTTAAACCTCTGAAAATCCCTGCTGTTCTGTCAAGATTTGATTAAATGTATGCACTGCAATGATCTGAGAAAATACAAAATCGTGGTTTTGATTATTTATTTTATTATGAAGAATGTCTTTGCATTACAATATACTCTGAATCAAACAATAATGGATACATGATGCCCTTTTCTGTTTATTATCGATAATTCTTTTCCCTCAAAGCTTCAAAGAGCCACTTATTTATTCCATGATAAAAACAGTGAACTCGCACAATTTCAATTAAAATGTTACTTTCCCGTCATTATGGCACCATAACAATATCTCTGTTATGCACTCAAGCTCAACCTCAGACCAGCGAGATCTAAACAAAGTCAAATAATGGTGACACATGATTTATTCTCTTCAGCTTGTCCCTGAAACGTTAAATATGTTGAAATACTCTGGTTCAGATGAAGACGGACATGAAATGGAAACAACCGTTATACACTCACAGTTAAAGGGAACTGAACCGTTTTATGCATTCCCAACTAAATCCATCCAGAGCACAGCAAACATCGGGATTTTTTTGTTCTATTTTTAAATATTCACTTCAACCACAGTGAGACCAGTACTAAAACATGGTTTGAAATTCACACAGGATAAATCACAAAAAAA